ATTACAATAAGGAACAGGAGGATTCCCTGAAAGCAGGAAGTGATGGCGATTACAATAAGGAACAGGAAGACACCCTGAAAGCAGGTAGCGCTGTGATTACGATATGCACTACAAAGAGATGGAAGTGGAAAACGAGGATTATGCATGTGTGGAAGAGGAAGATTCCAGAACAGGAAGCGACATCTACCCCATCATCGGCTACACATTATTTTATTTCGGACAGTCTACTACTACAGACTGCGACTGGCGATCGATCGAAATATCGGTTCACTGCTAACTTTATCGTACTTCATCGAATGATAAGCACATCAGAATTACGTTGGGGCGGTGGCAGCAGATCTGCACCTCATAGAGACTCCCCCAGGCCTCCATGTCACACACACGACTACGCCGATGAAACGAGACGCGACAGAGAACAACGCGACGGCTCCGGCACTCTCCGCACGACCTGTGCTGGTGGCGCCACCTACTGGACACATACCGTCGTCACAAGAGGTGTGAGGAAGGTCCAGGCGATCCGGAACCACGGGTTGATTCTGTAGCCGATCATGAAGGCAATGTTGTCATAGAAACGGCTGCCGCCTGCAAGACAATGAAATTTAAAAAAGAAAAAAAAGGATTAAAAAAGTCCCTCTCGAGAGAGAGTGAGATGGTGGCGCCAGCTGTGCTACACGATGGCATTACGCTTCTATCACCTGCTTTCACTACTATATTTATTTATTATTATATTATATTACACTAGCGGGATACCCGGCGTTGCCCCGGGAAATCAGTGGCGTTACTCAGTTGGTGACCGCTTGGTTGAAAGAAAAATACAAAAAAAATCCAACTATCTATCCATGCATCCATCCATGCATCCATCCATGCTATGCCATGCCATGCCATGCCATCCCATGCCATCGCATGCCATCGCATGCCATCCCATCCTATCCCATCCAATCCCAAAGGACCCAAACAGTAAAAAATAATAAGAAATCAAAAGAAGAAGATTCAGCCTAACCAAGACTTCAGCCTGTACGCTTATAGATCGAGTTCCCACCTCTTCACTATGTTCACTGTGTTCACCTGTAGCACAAATAGTTCAGTTGTTGCTACCAAACAATAATCTTAAGACACTCGCACGTTGCCGCCATCTATTGACGAATAGTAAAGTATTAATTTGTTTTAAATTTTTAACTTTTCTTATTTGTTTAATGAATGTAGTAAAATTTATTTTTTTAATTTTGAAGTGGCAGAAGTACTGGCTGAAGTTGCAGAAGCACATACTAAAGAGGTAGGTAAAGGGAAAAAAGAAAAAAAGGAAAAAAGGGGAAAATAAGTTCCCCAGCTGGGACTCGAACCCGGAATCCCGGTGTAGGAGACGGATGTTCTAGCGATTACGCCACTGCGCCGTTAATGGTATACACCATGGATTCACACGTACGTCATGTTAATCTGTACGCACCGCCATCTATTGATCAATAGAATTGGTATCAATTTTTAACTTTTTAACTTTTTAAAATTTTTGTTTCAGCCAGAACCACCTCCCAGACGTTCTGATTCTGAAAATATCTTTAGTTTTCCTCTAGGCTGCGGAGTTCTCTAGTTACCGTACAACGACCAAATCGTGCCTTAAAATATAAACTTCATGTAAGTGACACAGTTGAAGTTAAATATTTCATGCAACTAAACAGAAAACAGAAACAAAAGAACATTTTGGGAAGAAACAAAGAGCGCAATTCTATAAGTGAGCAGAGGAAAAAGTGCTCAGTTTGGCGACCACTTGGTTGAAAGGAAAATACACTCTGTATCACTAGTGTAAGTTACTCTGTATTACTAGTGTTAGTTACGCTGTATTACTAGTGTAAGTTACTCTGCATTACTAGTGTAAGTTACTCTGTATTACAACTGTAAGTTACTCTGTATTACTAGTGTAAGTTACACTGTATTACTAGTGTAAGTTACTCTGTATTACTAGTGTAGGTTACACTGTATTACTAGTGTAAGTTACTCTGTATTACTAGTGTAAGTTACTTTGTATTACTAGTGTAAGTTACACTGTATTACTAGTGTAAGCAGCATACGCGGCTCCCTCACCGTAAACCCAGGCGATGGCGATGCTCTCAAACAGGCAGAACCAGAGCAGCGTCATGCCACTAGCAGCGTAGTGGTCCCACAGGTAGAATACATACAGACCATTCTGAAAAACACATCAGTCGTTACTCCGTGAACGCATTGCCTTGAAGGGGAGTGAGAGGGTGTAGGGATGTGTGCCTTGAAGGGGAGTGGGAGGGTGTAGGGATGTGTATCGTGGCCTAACCCACAATCCTCACCCCCTCCCACTCCCCTTCAAGCCACACATCCCTACACCCTCGCACTCCCTTTCCAGCCACACGTCCTATTCTCTCCACACTGCCTGCAATGGCAAAAACAGGGCCGAACAGAGAATACTTTAGCAGTATGTACTGAAGTCGATTTCACAGAATTTCAGATCCTGAGCGTGAGAATACGCACATATCGGGTTGTGACTGAACCGCGAGAAAGAACGAAGTGTGTGCTTGCAAGTGTTCTCTACACAGTTGAGTAAGCGACGTGTTATACAATGATAAGTGATTCCTGCACAAAAGCTACGATACTGTACGATGATACCTGCAGCAAGTAACACAGGATTCCAACACAAACACCACTCACACGACGACCCCTGACTCACCTGGAACACCATGGGCAGCCCCAGCTGCACGACTCACCTGGAACACCATGGGCAGCCCCAGCAGCATGACTCACCTGGAACACCATGGGCAGCCCCAGCAGCATGACTCACCTGGAACACCATGGGCAGCCCCAGCACCATGACTCACCTGGAACACCATGGGCAGCCCCAGCAGGATAGAGATTGCCGACACGACTGCGATGAACAACTCTCGTCTGCTGCCGCCGCGCAGGTAGCGCGGGAATGTGTCGATCACCGCGGTAACGAATCCCTCCACACCAACAAACTGTGGATGAGAGGAGGCCAGCCGTATTAGACACATTACAGACTCATAGTAGAAAAACGCATGAATTACTCACCAAGATTACTAGCTACAATAATTCATCTCTATTAATATATCCATGATACATATCACCTATAAAAAATCCATTAGTTTAATAAAACGGTACTAAATTTATTAAATTTGAAAAATTTAATAATCCATGGATAAATTCATTAGATACCCGCAGAGCGCCCCTTAGCGGGTTCGCTATGAACTGTTCACGTACTGTTTTGATCGTGCCCTCACATACTCTTGTACTCAAGTGCTGGTGTGCAGTGAGGCAGCCTGCCATG